AGGAGGAGGAGGAGGAGGGACATTGATCGGTCTTCACTCTCACATCCGAACGACCTTGGGGCAGTTAGTGACGACAGATAATCAGGACACTGGATAACCAAACCTAATGCTTCCATGAACCGCCTGGTATACCAGCCATCTACAGCGTTGCGCTGAAGACGGTACGTGTTAGACCCCGAAGGTCCAGGCACAACTTCTTTTTCGATATGTGCCTGCCAGTAATACAGCAACCCAAGCTCACGTGAGAATGACGGGTACCAGCCAATCCAGATTGAAAGATGGACTGGGGGGGAGGATCAGTTTTTGGCCTCAAGCTCCGGTCAACAGCCCACGTAGGTTGTCATACAAAGATCACCAGCAAAGACAAAGATATACCTATGCATGCTACATTTTGGGCATTCATGACGCCAACCGATAAGACGGTCGTGATTCAAGTGATAGGGCGTTTTGCTCGAAGACTGGATGATCGACTCGCCCGGACTCAACTCTCAGGCCGGTGTGGCTGACTGATGATGGTTGGCAAGTCTGAGATGGCCATTTGTCAGTAACGCCTCTCAAGCACGGGCACCGCATCACAGGCTGTCATCATCATATATATTATGTATATGTATATTAAAAACTCCACTCACCTCATCACATCCCAGTTGCCTGAACTTGATGCAGTAGTTGACCAGATCGATGTACAATTGACTCCGCGTATCCAAGTCCATGCACATATCGGCGAGGTTTTGGGCCTTCTCTAGACAACTTATCAGACCTTTGGCGTGGCGGAACTGCAAAAATATAAAAAGTGTTTTACTGAGGACTGCACGAAGAAATTCGCGAACTGACTGAGTAATACAATAAAAATGAGGATGAGGAGCCGGCATCAAAAGCATCGCCCCAGTAGAGGACCCGGGGGAATTTTGTGACGAAACAATTCTTTTCTCTGAAATGTGTAATCAGTTCCTGCACGAAAGATATCAAAACACTGTTCCAGTGGTTTTCTGCACTACCAATTGACGGGAATATCTCCTAACCTGATTGGCGGACAAACCCCCACCACATTTAATATCTCCAACCACAACCGACAGGACAACAGGCCCATCGTTCGGCGAAAGAAAGTTAGATTTAATAGCGCTCCCAAGTCCTGTAAGCATGGGGTTGGGCAAGGCTGGCTGAGGAGGTCTGCCAACCCAGAACTGGCTTGTCGATACTATCCCTTCAGTCAGCACAAGCGAAAATTCGAGCCCCAGAAAACGGTTGATAAAAAGTATACGCGATCGCTGTAACAAGAACAAGGAACCCCCTTACCTCATATTCAGTGTAAAAACAGCCGGGACAGAGTAACCAGCCCCGCGGGGAGGGCACAGGCGAGCACTGTTTCCAACACCAGTTTCGGCGCCAACATCCAAAACGGCTGAGGGAATTGCGGCGGCCCGCGACCAGACTGCCGACAATTATCGCACCATTTTCGATAAAAGGGGAGTGGTTAGTTTTTCTAGATGTGCGGAGGCGTAGCGGCTGCATCCTATGAATACTACAGCCCATCTGATGCTAAACTCAGTTCAGTCCAGTTTATTTGAGGGAAATATAGGTGTTGAACCTTTGAACTCCCTATTTGTTACAAGGAAGCGAACTATATAAAAAATTTGAAAATGGAAACATCAAACACCTACAGAGTTTTTTTCAGATTGGCAAAGTTTTCGAAGTCAGACAGATAAACGAATTGTTCCAAGTGTTAAGAACACTAACGTTACTAAATGTGCTGTACAGTAGTCTGTCTATGGATAGTTGGGTCTGTCTCAGTTTCTGAGGGTGACGAATTAAATGCCGACACACATTCAACATACATGGGACGATAAAAAAAACATTACTGAAATACAGGCAGTAATATAACAACATTAATTAACTGTTCGAACGAAGTGCTAGACGTTGTCGGTCAGGTGGCATTATGCCGTTTGGTGGTACACTGGTCCAACTTGCGCTTAAAAGCCTAGACGGAGGTGGACATGGCGACATCTGTTGGCGGAGCATTCCAGGCCTCGATCACTTTGTTTGAAAAGAGGAACTTCCGAATGTCCAGCTTGGCGCCAGTTACGCGTAGTTTAAGTGGATGACCTCGGAGGTTCGTTGTGGTCGCTAACTCAAAGAAATCAGCAGGTACGAGACAGCAGTCGTGGCCGCGCAGTAAATGGAATGTTT